CGCGCTGGGGGAGTGCCGTTGGGCTTCCAACATTTGAGATCTCGATGAATCAGCCCGTCATCCAAACCGACACGTCAGCATTCGCATTTTGATAGCTCAAGAATTTCTTTTTTCGCAATAAATGAAATGTATAACAGCAAAATAGCTGCAGAATAAAATGCAAAAAGTGAATCCTGTCCGATTCTTCGATTAATTCGTGGGAAAATTGTTCCTAAAAGATGGACATGAGGAGTGATTGAATGGGCGCAAAAAGACGAAACTTTGTTAAGCGGAGAAATCTCGCAAAATTTTTAAGCTCAAAAGTACCCTACCATATTAGAGACTGGGTGTATTATATTGGTACGCAATATCCGGCCTTAGGAATGGAATTATACCCGTTTAAAGAACATAAGCAGCCGAATGTAAACGAAAGAAAATTAAGTTGAAATCGATGTTGGACAATGATATTAGGCAAAGTAGGAGTGGGAAAGAGAGACATATCACCATGAAGACCGAAATGAATCTGACTGGGAGGGGGAATGGTTCATATTTGTGGCTGTGAACAAACCATTGCATCACAGCTGCTCGATAGTGCGTGTTGTGTGTTGCCCGCCGATCAATAAATCATTAGCGCCCGCAGCGCAATCGGCACCCCAGTGGTTTGTTCCGGTGGGAATGGGAAGGACGTTTTGGAAGCTGGGACGGTCCGAACGTAGTCCTTATTCCTACAGAGACAGAACAGCTACAGAACAGGACTAGAGTCCCTGTCACTCCCGCAAAGAGCCATCTGTCCTCAGCCACAGGCGTGATTCTCCTATCAGGACTCCTTATCACTGAAGGTTTTCATTTTCGCAGTGACTTCTCAAGCAGTTCTTTTTGAAGACCCGTTTGCGAAAGAGCAGGGCCAAAGTGCGACCACACGGGATTTCACGTTGTAATAAGGCAACAAGGAATCAATATGAAACAGAATGCTGTGGTTGTAAAATCAGCAGAATAGATAAGGAATCGTGTGGGGTCGAGTCGCCTTGATTCCTTCGCTTGCTCAGTTTACGTTAATCTAAACGAAATTGTCCCGTCGATTATCGATTTGCTCAGGCAGATGTCACTATCGTGACTTTTTCGCCCTTCGCCAGCCACTGGAGCCCATATGAACATTGCTTCTCGCAGATGTGATGCATTCCGTTTATTCCCTTCGGGACAGGCTTACATGAGAGAGTCTGATAATCGAACCAGGGCCGCTCCAGTACCTGCCTGAAGACTCGAAGGGCCATGCGTTAGGTTGTCATTATTTATGATGCTAATCGCGGTCAGTTTACTAAGCGTCACGAAAAGATCCATAGAGCTCTGAAAAGGTGGAAACCTTCCCTGTTTATGTTTAAAGGTGAGATCTTCTGGTAATCAGGAATTCCTCCCGGTTCTCCATCTCTCGTCGTACCGACTAAATGAACGCCTGCGTAGGGTGTAGCAGGGGTAGACGTCTTCACTCTCATCCTGATGCGTCGCCAATTTCATTGGTCCCGTTCCTGCGAACTTTGTCCTGAAGTGCTTTGCAAGCCTCCATCGCAAGCCGACGGCTCATTTGTGTTAAAACTGTGAGCGATAAGCATGTCCGCCGTCGCCCTGAAACCTATTTCCTTCGTCCCTTGGCAAATTTCCGCTCTCTTCAACATTGCAGCACCAGTCGCCCTGTAAATTAGGTCTCTCTGATGCAGTTTGTGGGGTAAAAATAGACACAGATTTCCAAATACGGTCAAAGGGTGTCTGTTTCATTGAAGTATAGGAGTGTAAGGTTTCTCACTTGTAGTATTATAAAGGCTACTGTTGGTCGGCGCACGCTTTGGCCACAGGCATTCCCTAAAGAATTGATGTTCTTTTCGCAAGTTTAGAGTTTAATTTCAAAAAAATGCATAAAATGTATTTCCGCTCTGAATGCTTGAGTTGGTCGTGTCAAGTTCGTCTGCCCTCAAGATTTCAATATCAAGGTTTCTGAGGTAACTAAATAAGTGTCGTACAGCCGCCATTTTAGGTTAAGGAAGATAAGTGCTAGCTCACGCCTACTGAAGGTAGTGCTCAGGATGGGCAGGAAACTCGAACGGCACCCAGAGTTCGCAGTCTGGGTCTGTCGCTTAGATTAGCTTCTGTTCGTATGTGTTCTCTCGTACAGGTGGTGTTCAGTGTTTCTCGATTGGAGACGGTGAGACTTCGAACTATGATAAGACCTGAGAATTTGAACCATATTACCTCGAAATAGTAAGCGTATAGCCCGTATCACTTGCCGTCCCGTTAATCATCGATTTACCAGAGCTGCGAGCCATTGTCGTTCAGCGATAGGCATGGGGCATAACATTCATTCTGATTCTCATTCAGAGCTTTTGTGATAAAAACTAACTTCAAGTTGGTTCGTCCTGGTGCTCGTTTGACTTCGATAGGATTCAGTCAGTAACGGCCATCACAAGCCCAACGGTCACCATGAAATGGCATGTCTTGTCTGAGATGTTCGTACCATTTATCAAAAGGAGCATCAGGAACCAGTCTCTTGTGAATAGCGTCTTCGTTATGCTCAGTCGCAAGCCAACCGTTCCAATTTGGCCAGGGTTCTGTTCGACATTCGGTATTGGGAGCGCCAGATGGTCTGCAAAGCATAAATAATTCAAGTGCCGGCCTTTGATCTCTACCCCTGTCTCGCCTTGCAACCCTTCCAATCACGTTGATCAAGAACTCCTCTTAGTTATAAGGCTCAGAAAAAATACTTCACCAGGTGGGTGCAAAAGTTTTGAGACATTCGTGTGTAATTTTAAAATTTCTTATGAGTTTGTTTGAACCTCCACTATTGCACTATATAGACACTATCGTTCTATGACGACCATCCAACGGTGAGTCCAGCCGGCTATCTCCTTCTCCCAGAAGAAGAACTGTGAGCGAGTTTCTGAGCTGACTACTATGGACAGTAGCCGTGTCTGTCTAGCCTCCAGGAATAGCAGGTGTACACTTGGTATAGCATTCCCTTCGAGTGCGTAGAGCAGCTCAACAAAATCTTGACCGCATGCTGATCTGGCTTAGGTTGCATAAACCGATCTTCTGCTCTGGAAGAAGGACAGCGACACTCTTGTTGTACTCATGGAGAATTCAGCTCTGATCTCCCGTCACCAGATCGTTAAAAAACTCCTTCCTTTTAAAAGTGAGGAAAGCCATGGCTGACTGAGGCACGCGTGTGACGGAGATCGCCGGTCTGATGGTGCGATATCGACAAGCAAGAATTCTTCTGTAACTGTGTTCGTGAAGGTGGCGAACGACGTTTCCCTGACTGCACTCGATGAGCTTCGGCAATTCCCTTTTCGTAGTCTCTGGCCTCTTCTTCACTTCGCGGAGTAGTCGTCTTTCTCGATAGAAACCTTGTCGTCCGAAAGAAGATCTTCGTAGAGCGACGTATTCGCAGACCTGCAGCGAGCGAATAAAGACCAACGTTCGCATGGCTGGAGAAGTCTCATCTGATTGCAGTGCTAATGTTAGAGGCAGCTGAAAGGGCACTGGAGCGATCTATTGCTCAAAGCTGCTCTCTCGATAACTGCGACCTAGTTTACAAGAGGAACGCTCGGGGACCTATTTGAATGTTATTGGTGGCAACTCTGAGATCGGTCTAGAATGTGGTGATGGTCTGAGTGCAGTTCAGGTTCTTCTAAAGAAATGATGAGTGATGTATCGTGCCCTAAGACACCAATTAATATGTTATACAACGCTAGAGGTTTGAAGAGCCGTTTCTGCCTCGAAGACCTTCTCGTGCGGGGAGCATGTTAATGTAGAATTCAGACAGCTGGCAGTGGGGCAGTAGATTTCTACGGTACTTTGCATCCCGACGGGTACTGCGCAAAGAGTCTACCCACGTTTCTGACGATAAGTGACCGGAGGCTCGTTGGATGTTTTGGCTTGAGCTAGGGACAGGGGGTCACACAATTCTTCATCGACTTAATGGCGTGAATGGGAAGCCGTCGCTTTTGTAGAGATCGGAGTAATGCAAGATTGGGCAGCCGTCGCTTTTGTAGAGATCGGAGTATAAGCTGTATATGAACTCCTTTCTGCCCTAGCAGAAGCAGTAATTCCTCCGACGAACGGAGAAGGGATGCCAACTTGTCTTGCAAGTGAGTGATCTCAGCAGTACGTTATGAATCTTCTGAAACTTTCAAGCAATGAAAGACAGATTTCACGTGTAGCCAACAAAACCCTTTCTAGGGTCTCCAACAAACCAAAAAATCACCAAGAATGGCTCGGTACCTGTAAACATGAAGGTTGGGACGGTTAATCATTTGCTGTGGACAACGTCACACTGAAGAAGGCTATGAGTAAGGCTTCCCTTTGATGACGAGTGAATTCTCTAGGAAAGCCATGTGCTACACCCAGATTTGCACTGCCCTTACGAATCAGCCCTGGCGATGAGATCCAGCACAGCAAACACGTGCCATTTACCTTGAAGCCGATTACCAACTTCAAAGGTGGCCATGAGTTTTCCAGTCATTAGACCGAGTATCCGGTCCCGGTTACTTGCATTGTCTTCGGCTGCCAAAATACTTGCCTGCGAATAGGCAACACGCAGCGATTGAATCTGTTCACTGGATCGGTTATTGGATTAGGAAAGTCGTCATCGATGGACGCGGATGAGTCTGAACAGAATGGAGTCGCCAGCTTCCAGTTAGTACCGTCTGCGGCCTTACGGATGAGTACTACGCTCTTTACAACAGACACTTTGACAACTTAAAATAGCTGCTCTTCTTTGGTCACGATGGAAGGAGAGTCAGGGTAACGACCAATACTACGAATGAATGGCTTAAAATACATTTGAAAAGATGAAAAGTGAGGTGGAATATCAGAGCGCAGTATATCACGTCAGTTGGCTAACACAGTTAGTTGCATTCCATCTGGTGCCATCAATAAGTGCGGTGAGTAAGAGCAATGTTTTCTCTACCTGAGGTTCTTACTTGAGCTTCTTGTCCTAAAGTAATTAATCTTCTGATTGAACAAAATAGCAGATGTCGGAAGTAGCAGAACGATACGTAGAACAGATCCACACCACAGCAGAAACATTGCGAAGACGGATCATTGCTTACTACGATGGCATATTTTTCCTCGGAAACAAGCTCATAACGGCTGCTGATCGAGCACGCGACATTGCTGAACCAGTTGCGTATGATGTGAAAGACTATGTAAGTGTAATATTGCATTTCGCCATCTCGTTATCCTTGACCATTCACTTCTTACTGGAACAGGTGAAGTAGGTGTAGAACTTAACGGGAAACATTCGATTCTACGGAACAACTCATTCAAACACACATATCCCGTCACACATAGGACATTTCGGTACGAAGTCTGGGCATGTGGAGGGGTATCGTGGGAAATTATGAAAGCCAAAAGGCAATGTCAGAAGACAAGAGCCACTGAATTTGCTACTTCTTTCATATTACTAGGGACCTGAGGAGTTTTAATGTTATATGTAGGTAGTGCCAAGATCGTCGATAACGAATGAAAATAAATGATAGCGTACTATGAAAGCCTATGACGTGTGTTAGAAAGATGAGCTAGTGGGTTTGTTAACTCTGTTCATTAAATGTCGGAACTTAACGCTCAAATGCGGTCTGTGAGTTGTAGAAAGAGTCATAGAGAACGGACAGGACATAGCATAGATAGCATAGCATAGCATAGCAGCAGCATAGCATAAATAGCAACTGGTGAGGGATGATAAGGGATGCTCGAAATAAAGATCTCTGCGGGTTTGGTTGAAAGTGTTTGAGTAGTGTTGCGTGCAACAAGGAAGGATCGGTGCTACTGCCCAAATCTAGCAGTTTGTAGCAACTTCTTCGCTCCAAAAAAAAACTGCGAAGATGACCTATAACAAAGCAGGGAGAGAGGCGGCAGACGAGCATGTAGGTTCGGTTCGACTTCGTGTCCCGAGGGCTTACAGCGAACGCTATCATTATAGCTGAACAGTTGATGGAGAACTGCCGAGACTACCTAGCCTTTGACTTGACGTAATGGTTGGGGTACAAAAGAGACCAGATTTTAGCCCGTTCCTCTTCATGCACTGGACAATGAATGCCAACGAAAAAGACTTTGGACGGACTACTGAAGACCAATCACTACATTGATGACATCCCTCTGATAGTGGAGATTCGGAACGAATTCAGGACAAGCAGCAGAAGTGGCCAAAGGTGCTGGCCAAGGCTCTTGGTTGATGTGAGGAAGACAAGTTTCTCAGGCCGGAGAAGTGCAGAAGTGATCGTAGACCGCCTTAGAAAAGATTTTGAAAAAGTATGGGTACTGACGATAGCTTCGGTTGATGTGTGATGATTTAACGCGGCTTAGTTGCAATGAAGACAGTTCACTGGCGTCCTCTATGGCCGATGCTCCAGGACACTCAAAGCAGGCATTAGCGACCAATAGTGATGCACACGATGCTATACGGCAGTGAGTGATGGTCCGGAAAAACTCATGAAAGCTTCGTTGGAATGAGGAATATGTTAGAGATTGTGGAAGTAAGGGAGATGAAACCTTCGGTGGAGCCTGAGGAGAGGAACTAAAGCCGAAAAACTCATAACTCTATTCGAAAACTTTCCGTTAGAATGATGCGAAAGTCTTGAGACACAAATCCACGCATATGGTCGTTACTTTTTAGGGACCTTTGCCGCCCTCTGACATCACCGAACAACAGAATAGACTCAGGGTCGAAACCAACGAATATATGAATAGGTCCGTAGCGCTTCTCTTGTAAATTATGGGGCAGTCATCAAATGATCAACTTCGAGCCCGAAGCAGGTTGCTTGCGCCCAGTGTTCGTTGGACTGCCTCCAACACCAACACTGGAATTGATATAGACTTCGTCAGTCGCTTAGGGGTTTGTTCGCTCGCTTTCACTCTGGAGATACGTTGCTAATGATCCTCTTTCTGACGACTAGCTGTTTCTTATGACGTGCGAAATGTTGCAAAATGAAGAGTAGGCTGGAAGCAACGAACATTCCGCACCTACCTACCCACAAAAATCGTTAGAAACATGCCTAACTCAGGGATTCGTGTCTACTCACCCCCGTGGGAAGGGGTTCCTACAAGATCTGGTTACAGAAAATGAGATTTGCATCCTATATGACTACAACAAGAATGCCGCTGCATGTCTCCTAAAGGCAAAGATCCTCGTGTGCAGTCTATTCAGAACAGCACATGTGGTTTTGTGAGGTTGAGGTTTTGTTGGCTACTCTAAGGTTTAGAAGGGAATACCATACCACGAGTCGCTCCCTCAAGGTTACTCATCAATGGTTATCATCTACAGCAGTCAGCCCCAAAGACACGCCCATGCTGTCGAGGGGAAGTGATCGGAATGAGTTTGTGCCCATCTTCCCATAATAACGCATCGGCATCAAGTTGCAAAGAACGCACAACTTGCGATAAAACTCCGACTGGAATACATCCTCTCACCCTTTCTTAATTTCAGTAGCTCGGACTCTTTTTGCTATCTCCCCGAGCATTTCCTGAGCAAGAAGGTGTCCGCCACACAATCTGTACGCTAGGAAGTGCTGTCTCCGGTCATCTGTCGTCCCGTTGATCATCGATTTTTTCGAGCGGACGCCAGTAACGTCTCCATTCGCCCCTTGCCACGAGTCAGAGGGGTCTGGGTGGCGCTCGATCAACGCGTGACCCAATTAGAGATCTCGCGCACGCAGCACTCACTTCAGTACCTCCTGTTGAGATGGACCAAATAAGATTTGCAGTAGTCCATGGTTTCACCATGAGATACTGCAAATCTCTTTACTATGGCAATGAAGCCCCTTCGAGATTAAGAATCCACGTCCTAGGTCAACAATTTACTTGTCAAACGCTCAAAATAAGAATACCTTAAAATTTTTGGATCCTAGTAAACGCAATCCTTCTGTAAACGTGCATAGTCTGTCATTTTTGTACTTATTTTACTTTCTTATTTCTTCCATTATGAAGGTAGGCATGATGTTTTAGCGCTTTTTGTGCGATGACCTCATTATATTGACGCGTGAATCGCACCACACCCGAGGGGTCTAGTGAATCGTCCTCTCTTCAAGGACACGAGGCTCAGCACGCCTTTCCTTTCGTACAGAGCTCCTGTGAAGAGGTCACCATCGCGTTGGCGGTCGTCTTGGTGTTCGCTTGACATCCTGTCCGTAACCGTCCAGGTCCAACGGTATTCACAATATCGTATACCGTCTTTGGCCCACCTGATCTTCGATTTCTTGGCTCAAGAGCATCCTAGTCTTCGTTCGCTGATGGAGCTCGAACTCCGGATTCCTTCCTGCACTTGCGTCTAAAATGGAAAATTCCGAGCATCGTCCTCTCCACAGCGCGTTGGATGACACTAACTGCATGTTCGTCTTCTTTGGTAGAGTCCAATTCTCTGAGGGCTATGTCAAAGCAGGAAAGACCGCAGAGTCGAAAAGTTGAGCGCAGAGCCAAACGATTTTGTCTTTTTCACTACTCCTTCTTTGTTTTTGGATGCCCCTTCCCACGTGGCGCGATCCCTTCTGCTCAGCTCCAGATCTAGGTCGTTCATCATGTTGTCTTTCCGACCTAGATACACGCAGCTAAAGGACTCGGAGATATTCTATCCGTTTAGCGTGAAGGTAGCATCAGATACCAATCTGTTTCTAATGAAGTTAGCGGTCGTCGACCTTCACTCCAATGCCTCGCACTCTATATGACGCATAATGTCAAGAGCGGCACTAAAACGTTTGGGCGAGATGGTGTCACTCTGTCAAACCTCTCTCTTCATGTTAATGATGACTTCTTTATAGAGTGGCAGATCCTGGTCCTGAAGTTGTTGTGGAGCTTACGAAGCATCCTTATATACTGAGTAGGAACACCTTGGTTGCCAGTGCTTTGATTCCCTCTTATGTCTCGATGATATTAAAGGTTTTCTTCAAGTCGATGAAGTTAGTCATAACAGCATTCCGTACTGTGGCGACGCTTCAATGAGTCTTGTGACGGTGTGGATATGGTCGATTGTGCTGAACCCTCTTCGGAACCCTGCTTCCTCGCATGAATGTCCTTCTCCAATATTCTGCCAATCCTCACCGTTTTGGCTTCCATAAACCTCGGCATTGTTGTGAATTGATATTAATCTTGCTTGCAACTCCCACGAGGTTGGTATGAAAATTTATTAGCTAACGTTTCGGCGATATCGCCTTCCTAAGAACCTGAAAGTGGATCAAAAACAATTTGCGGATATTAGATTGAAGGTCTTCACAACCCTACGGAAGTGCGAGACCCCCCAGAGCACCACGTATTCACTTCGTGGATCCTCGAAATCACCCAGCAACCGATAATGGGACCAGGTCAGCTGAGCTCGGTCTTCATCGGAATCCTTGTGAGAAGGCCAACCTTGTATAAAGCCTCAGTTCCCGCGCAATTGCGAAGCATTCCTCCCTCCGAATCATTTTTGGATTGGTGGCCTGTATCCAAAATGCCTCGAGTGATTCGCGCGGCGCAATTGCGGTTCCTGGGCCACGACCTCCACGGTGACCTCGAAGACGCCTCCGTTATGATTTTGAACGCGCTGGGCTCCTGAAGCGGTGGACTCCCTCGATCGATTCATGCCATCTAGGTGTTCCTTCATTCTTACGGGGAGTGGTTTTGCCATTTCACCAGTATACTCATCCCGCAGTTACGGCCAGTGATCTTATAGACCACCCCAGACATGGGCAATCCCCTTCCCTGCCAGCCGAACATACCACACAATTTGAGGTGGTACATAGGCGGTCATACTGCCGGTTTCGAACCAGGCGTCGCTTCAGATTGAAGGGTGGCACGTCCCATGTAGAACTTAGGGGCAGCAGCGACATCACAAAGCAAAACCCCCGATAAAAGCAAATGATAGAGCTTCTGGAAGTACGAGTTGTCATGGATGATGAGGGTTTCAAATGGTAAACTCGGACAGCCTTTCACCCTCCTTATCCCATTCCGCCCGTGAATTCTGATGGAGAGCTCTTCAGCCACTTTTCTGGGTTCAATATTGATGTTGAAATCACCGACGATGTCGTTGATGTGTGGCTTCTTTGTAGACCCTCTTCAGATCCATATAAAAGGCTTCCTTCTCCGCATCTCCGTAGTTTGATGTTGGTGCATAGTGTTGTAGACTTATAAATATTACATGTGGTCTACCATAGTCAATTGAAGACCACCTTTCAGGCGCCAAATTGTAGGTTTTGATCTGGTATTACTGCAATTTGACCACGGTATTTGACTAGGCCAACTGGTACATAAACCCGGCCTTTTCACTAGTTATCATTGTATCCAGTTCGACTTCTCCAGCAATAAATCTTCTCCGCCTCCTCGACTCCACATGAATTGGCGATCAGGATCGACTACGCCGAGCAGCCGACTCCATCAAGCAACGCCGACTACGATGGATGCTGACACTCTACGTGCTATTCTCAGTGCTCAAGCCGCAGCTCAGGAG